GCACCAGGAAAATGCCACAGCCCCAACCAGGTGAGCAAAGGGGCGGAAGCAAGCCACTCCTTCGGGGCCGTCTGTTTCACCGCCTAGCTATGATCTATGCTAAGACTGTAAAAGCTACCATCTATACTGGTGAGCTTATATTAGGGAGTTATGTACCATTTGATCTTTTAAGTACACAAAAAGTTAAATATTTAAATAATATTTTAAATACAATATCTATACTACAGTATATTTGGACTGCAATTTCCAACATTCCTCACTATCTCATTTGGAAAGACACTGCTGGACAAATGAGATGCTGTTAATTTTCATGCAGCTTTGGGCTAACTGTGTCTGTCTCTCTTAAGTTTGGGAAGCTACTTCAGCCAGGACATTTACCCCCCTCCCCTCCCCCAGCAGATGTCTCTCTTTTCTGTGACCATAGTGAAGGATTACTCCCAATGCTGCCACTAACCAACTTTCATTGCCCAGTATGCCAGACTGGTTCTTTTGGTATAAGGAAGCAGGTCTCAGATGTGACCCTAAGCTTAACAGTTGATGTTAAGTCGTTCTTACAATAAGAACTCACTTTTAACTTTTTTACTTACTATTAAAGTGACACTTTAGTTCAATTTTTTAATTCTCAAGCTTATTCAAATATTAAAGTCAATAAAAACTGTAACAACTACCTGGCTTCTTGCGTTGAGAAGTTTTGTCACCACCATTGTGAAAGTATATCTCATTGTGGCTAGGCCCACTGTCAAAGGGAAAAGTCACACTTGAAGGCTGATTCTTCATTTTTTTGGCTCTTTTCTTTTCTTTTGCCTTTGACATTTCTGCAGAAGAAAAAAGATATTTAAGATACAACCCCACCTCTGCTGCATAGCAAATGAATTAGCTTCAGTAGAGTTAGAATCAGTGTACACACGCATGACACAAAGCTGACCACAAACGTTCATCTGATCGATTTTTAAAAATTACACAAAAATAAAGTCAAAAGAGGACTGCAGTATAGACAGTGACTTAGCTAACGGGGGGGGGGGGGGGGGGGGGGGGGGGGGGGTTGCAGACTGCCAGAAATAGTGCAAATTGAGTCTACTTTAAGGGTTAGGGTTAAGGAATCATGGGAACTGTATTTTATTGTGGCACCAGAGCTCTCTGACAGAGAAGGCTCAATGTCTCAGAAAAAAAAAAAAACACAATTCCCATGATTCCCTTGCACTAACCCTTAACCCTTAAAGTGGACTCAATTTGCACTATTTCTGGCAGTCTGCAGCCCCCCTAAGAGTTATCTCAATACTGCCAGTTTTTCTCTTCCATTACTCTGTATTTTTCCACTATCCTCACACTGCAGAGCTAGATGCTGAGTCAACATAGGCCTGTTATCACTATTGCATTTCATCCTTTCAACAGTTTTAGCAGAATAGATTAGTCAAAAGAATTTGTAAATGTGCTGATAGATCCAAGATGCTCTAGAGCAGTAGAAAATCTAAGATAGCAGCAGTTGTTGAGGGCTGGAAAAGTTCTGGCTAAATATTATTAGTAAGGACTAAAGAGGCTAAGAAGCCAGCATGGTGCAATGATTTGAGTGTTCGACTACTACACTGGGGACCAGGGTTCAATTCCCAGATAGGCATGAGATGCACTGGGTTTTAGACTAGAATTCTGGAGACCAGGATTCAAATCCTGGCTCAGTCATGTAAACCCACTGGGTGACCTTGGGGAAGTCACATGCTCTCAGCCTCAGAGGAAGGCAACGGCAAACCTCATCTGAACAAATGTTGCTAAGAAAATCCCATGTTAGGGTTGCTTTGGGTCACCATAAGTCAGAAATGACTTGGAGGTACACAACAACAACAACAACAACAAACTAAGAGGCTAAGAGTTGGGAAGACCGCATTCTTCTTATTCTTGTGACACAACTCTTTATTTAAACAACTCTGGTAAAGAATACACTAGACATGTATTATATTTTGATCTACAAATTGTTTTATGTTGTACTGTGGCACCTTAAAGACTAACAAGTTTTATTAAGCACACTCTTTCACGGATAGTTGCCCACTTCAGCAAATGAAATGATCTCCTGGAAACTTTTATACATTTTACTCTCCTGGAAACTTTTATACATTTTACTATTTCATACACTGTTTGTAATCATCACAGACAAGCACTTCACATATAATAGTGAATAATCAAAATCATGCACACATGCTTGTGTAAGCTAGAACAAACCTAGTATCAAGCATTATCTAATATATACCCTTTCAGATGGAATACCATAGTTTATAGATATGCAGGCACTTGCCAGGGCTTAAATACCTTGAAGGCACAAAATTCCATCTGATCTTGGAAGCTAAATAGAACTAGCCCTGGTTAGTGCTTGGATGGAGACCACGAAAGAAAACAGCATTCTATAGCCTAAATTACAGAAGGTGGCAATGGCAAACCAGCTCTGAGTATTCCTTGTCGAAGAAAACCCCATGAAGTTCATGTTGTTGTGTTGCAGCAAGGTGTAAATAACTGAGAATCGAGACCAAGGTAGGAAAGAAAAACAAGACTTTATTTGGCCAAAGACCCTCAGTTGGAATATTTTCCAAAAGTACTGAGAGCCCCTTGCTGGGCTCAAGCAGCTTATTTTATACCATTTTTAACAGTAGCAGGCTGGATTTTACATTATACATTACATATAAGGCGCAACTTGGCATTTCACTGGCTAAAGCTTATTCCTTTAGTCAAACCCCTACATGCACTAATTAGCTCATCACCTTTTGCAAAACCTTGCAATAACAGAAAGCTTGACCCTTGGTTGAACTCAAAGAAAACAGGATCCTTGCGACAGACATGTGAACATACGCTGCAGCGTGGTTAGCTCTGTGATCTAACAAACTTGAAGCTGGGCAATCCTGTCTGAAAGGGAATGGGGAACTGTCTCCCAAGTTCCCTTTTCAAGCTTAGCCTGACCTTTTCCACTCAAAGCAGTTACAAGGAAAAGCAATCCATTTGTCTTTTAATATAACGAATACAGGTTTTCTATCTATGCCTGCCTCCGTTGTGTGCCTACAAGTCATTTCTGACTTATGGCAACCCTAAGGTGAACCTATCATAAGGGTTTCTTGGCAAGATTTCTTCAGAGGTGGTTTGCCATTGCCATCCTCTGAGGCTGAGAGAATGTGACTTGCCCCAGGTCACCCAGTGGGTTCACATGGCTGAGTGTGGAATCGAACCCTGTTCTCCAGAGTTCAGCACTCAAGCTGCTGCATCACACTGGCTTTGCAAATCTCCCTATAGCCACAGGGCCAGAAGGAGGATCTTTTCTACAAAATATATACTCCCCACCATATACCATCTTAACTAAAGACTGAAACAACATGTAGGCATCTGACTGACATCTCCATTTGTTTTTCTCCTGTTTGGTTTGTAACATCTTGCCTGATGAAGAAGCCAGTGGAGCTTCGAAAGCTTGCAACAAGTACAGTGTGCATTTTGATTGGCCAATAAAGGTATCACTAATGGATTTTTCTTCAGATATTATTATTACCGTATTTTCCGGCGTA